CGGAGGAAATTCCTTGGCATTCTATCCACATTATAAAACCAGACGATCTTTAAGGTCAGGATGAAGGAACTGAGACAAGAGAATAAGCATCCATTCTGCATGAAAACAATGCGTCTAATCACTTCAGTAACTAATTCGTTGTTTTACATAAATGGAAATATCTTGAATCTTCTTTTACTTTTTTTTTTTTTTTTCCTATAACCTTTGTGCCATTGAGCTCAACAGAATTATTCTTGGCTTACCTCTTGTTCACTGTCAGAACCAAGACTCCTGTTGAAAGACCCCTCACCTTTGCAGAGTCTGGATTCAGGCCTGAATTGCAAAATTCTTATACTCATCTTTCTGAGTTGTGAGTTTTCACTTCTGGAAAACTGGTGAGATCTCTTTAGTGCCTTTCATGTCCAAAGTGACACAAGAACCATGTATATCACAGAATAATCACTGACATCATTTCATCGGTGCTAATCACTGAGATTTACTACCTATTTCCTAAGTAGAAGGAAGACAAATACTTCTTAACTTGGATATGGAATTGGGCAGTTTCTAAAATATCATGTATTTATGATGCACGTGCAGCTTTCAAATATGATCTAGGATGAGGGACTTGTACACATCAATTTCCTCATTGTAAAACAGAAACAAAACCTATTTTGCCTAGATTGTCAAAGCAATAACCTTCTTGTAGTGAATGCACAGTGTGTCTGCCTTACAAATCAACAAGTAGCCTAACATCTATTTGGGTTCTTAACACTATGAGAACCTCAAACATTGCTCTTCCCTGGATCAAGTTAATCTCCTGCTCAGTCTGAAATGCTTTCTACAAAGTGGATGAGCTTCAAAAAGGCTATCTGGGTGAAGCGTATCTCCTGTGATAAACCAGAGAAATGACAAGATAATCTAAATTACCTTCTGATTTTGGACTTTCTGAAATCCAAGCTACCCAGTATGAATCTGGAAGGCTATACAGAGTGCTTTCTTCTTATCTTCCTCTTTTCAGGTTCCTGCCAAATTGCGATTCTATCTTCATTCAGATCATAACATATACCCAGAATCTCAGATCCAGAAAAATAGCTTGAGTTGGTGTCACAGTGGGTAGTAAGAAAGGGTCATGACCACATATTATTTAGAAGCAAGAATGTAGTAATCTGTGAATGAAGCCTATGTACCAGCACTTGCCCTGAATACATCCATGTTTTAGGTCAACTTCTTTTGAAATAATGTACATAATATTATGCAATTAAAATGGTAGCTGTCTTGATAAAATATTGCTAACTTAAAAGAACCCTAACAGACTTGCTTTTTGCCATTTGACAATGGAACAAATTCTGTGGAATGTTGATTTCTTAGATAGGACGGATGCTTTCCATTTCCTAAAAAACTCTGGTGCCTTAATAGTTTAAGTGTTATTCATTCCCTTGTGGATTGGGCTGACAACGGAACCTAGTAATGTGAGATTGATTAAGATTCTCAAAATATCCTGGGTTTTGCTCTGTTTGAACTCTTAATTGTGAATTCATTTGGGAAGAACAGTATTCATGATCTGCCTGTAGGTTTTGCTATGGAAAGTCCTTTTAATAAGGAACAACATCTGAGCTCTTGAAATACACAGAACTTTTTTTTTTGCAATCCCTAGGGAATAGAAAGCCTTGAATGCTTACCAAAGAGGGTAATTCATGTCTATTCCATCTCCTAAAAACACTTCCTCCTTCAGATTTACAGTTACTAAGAACACAGAGCAATTTTGATCAAAAGAAGCAGCAGCAGCAGCTGTAAGGGAGAAGTGCTCATTTCTGATTGCTTCATCTGGAATGGAAGGGGGTAATGGCATAACTTTATTACACCAGATGCAGTGAAGGTCTTTATTTCATTTAATCTGGAGAACAGAGGAATTTGTCACATACAGAAGATGAAAATAATCTCGTTCTTCTTGACACCACCCAGGCATGATGGTTATTGGCTGGTTCCACAGAAGAAGTTGGAGTTTATGGTGACTACTTACTTACTTTCTCCTGCATGACTGTCCTAAGAGGGCTGGTATTTTGCTATACTCCAGAGACATCTTCTGTTGAAAAGTTATTTTTGTTTGGTATTTGCTGGAAAGCACTTGTTTTGGGAATGTGTGCTTCTGGGATTTGTGGTAGGCTCAAAGTTTCAACTGTACATCATAGCATACAATTTGTTTGGCACGGCGTTTATATTTAAGTTGCAATTTATTAAAACTTACTCTAAGACTCTTTTCTACACCAAAGCCATTTTTGATTAGCAGTGTATGCTGATAACAAACGATGGCCACAGATAGGACTTTTTACTTCGTTTCCTTTCAAGGGTAGTACAAAGGATTATTCAGCTCAGCAAATGTATCAGTGATTCATCAATGTGGTATGTCACTGTTTGTTTGTTTGTTTGTAGACAGTTTTGGGGGTTTGTTCTGTAACTGTATTTACATCATTAATTCAATATTATGGCTCTGGCTGAGGTCCTTACTGAGCAGGAGCTACCTTCAAAGTTAATAGATATGTTTTATCCACCATCTATTCTTTTGACAAATAGATTTAAAATGCCTCTGTTTCTGACACCTCAGTATGGCACAAGAGGGTAATATCTACACAGAATGGAGAGCAGGGGAGAGTTGAGCCCAGCAGTTCTAGGCCATACCAAGTCATTAAGTGCATTTTCTTCCCACTTCCCTTAGTTTCCATGGCCAAAGAGGTGGCGCCCAGTTACAGGGGCTCTGTAAGTGCAGAACAGCAACAGAAGAGACCTTTGACGGTCCCATAACAATTTAACACCAGTTGAAAGCCTGTCCTGCCAGTACTTTTGTCACTAGCCCTGCTTGCAAATGTTTTGTAGTGTTCTGGATTTTTGGGGATCCAGAAAGACAGATCTTACTTCCTCATCATGATTTTAAATGTCTATTTTCACTTTTCTAAAGCTTTTCAAGCCTTTCCATTCACATTTTCTCCTTTCTGCTTGTGGCTATATTGAAAAACAACAGAACATCTTTATAATAAATATGGGAAGGATTATCAAGCACTGGAAGGCAGTGACCAGAGAAAAAACATGTACAAAAAGATGCTTCTGTAATATGCACAGGTACATTGTCCTGTACCTGAGGAACTGCATCTCCTTCCTCCATTAACTGCACAGGGAGCCAAAGCCCATCATGCCTGCATTATTAATGCTCCAAACTGTACATTACAGTCCTAAATATTAGAGTTGTCTGACTCTGTTTTAGTCACTACAGTAGACAACCAGTGTAAGTGTAAAATCTCTGCCAAAATACCTGTGTTCTGGTAGATAGGAACAATTAAACTCATGCTTTTGCAGGATTGAACTGGAAAGTTAGCAGCATGAGATTCTGTTGTGCTCGGCACAGGCGGACTGAAACACCTTTCCTGCATAAGATAAAAAGCATCAAAAACGTGACTGTATTCAAAAAAAAAAAAAAAAAGCATCACTGTTTCTGCTTGTCTGTGAAACGGTTATTTCCTTACGCTGATTTCATTCAGGTTAATATACATTTTTGCTATATTTAAATGCATTTGCTGTTTACACAGTTCCCAATTCCGGGGAGTGCTTCCTACAGAGAATATGGTGTTACAACCAGCAATCACATCGTTTCCTGGATCATGGCATTCCAAGGAGTGGAAAACTGCATTATTTGTCCTTATGCCCAAGTTAATTTAATTGATTCCAAAAATTCCCTTCTTGCTTCTCACCCCGTATCCTGTTTTGTGGGCTGTCACTCTGATTTTAAGCAACCGGTATCAGAGGACACTGATGCTACCAGAGCATCTTCCACGGTTTGTACAGAACCCGTGGTGTAAAACCACAAGAATCGCTGAATAAATGGTGCATTTCAGGGGCTCAAGCGCCACCTGCTGTGGATGAGGGTGATACACACTGTGGAAGCAATCCAAAACACAGCTGTCCTTCTGAATGTACGAATACCTATCTATCTATATGATCATAGGGTTGACAAAACTGACCTGCAGGCCTGTCCAGCTTCAACTATTTTATCACTCGATAGACAAACTGACAAAACAAAAGGGGAAAAATTGTAATTCTTTGCACACCTAAGTGTCAGGGCTGTAAAGCCAGCTTCAGATTTGAAACTCGAGCTATTTTGTTCCTTCACCTACGCTACCGTGGCTAACAAAGATGTTGAAACCAGAGTCTAGTAAACAGCTGATGAAACATGAGCGAAGAAAAGATTGTGTTGCATATCTTCCACATGTTGCAGCTCTCAGAGACAATTCTGCTTAAACACACTTAAACACAAACGGCATTTCTGGAAAGGAAAACTTTAATCTCTGACTGTCCTGCCTCAGGCTTGGCTACCAGCTTCAGAAGTGAGCAGTGCACCTTCAAGGAAAAGAAATGAATCATCTTTTCAGCTGGGACAATTGGGGTTATTCCATCCTGAGGACGCATTTAGTTTCCACTTTCATTCCTGATAAAGAACCTAAATTAACTTAGGTAAGCAGACCCATCACAGAATCAGAAAAATCGATGCATGCCCATGTGTCTCAATATAAAAAGGGAGAGTTACACAGAGTTTTTTGAAGCAGAGAAGGGACAGGCAAACGGTAAGTCCAAGCAAGTGATGAGAAGGGCAGTCCTTGCCTAGGAAAGATTCTGGAAGAGGCTGTCCCAGTGCTATGAAGTACATGTGCCCATTTCTCTAATTAGCCATATCACCAGAAAAGAAGTGGAACCAATTGACATTAGAGAGAGAACAATAGAGTGGGATGGGATTTCCACTGATCCTACAAGCAGCAGAAAGCAGCTGGTGATATATTGTTTTAAGCAACCAGAAAAACATGGAAGAGACAACTGTGGACTTGTTCTGAATTTGCCAACTGACACGTTCATAAATCTTGAATCTATGGACAAACACTGACTCATTACCACTTCCCTGTAGGCAAGAGCAATAGAGTAACACATGACAATAATATACAATTAATTCCTGCTCGGAGAGCCAGTATTCCAGCCACTCACCTCTCATTTTCACCTCAGATCCTCTTCTGAGGGTAGAGCAATCATACGCACATTTCTTCAGTCCCCTGCCCATGGATAAAATTCATTCTGTGAAAACATAAAAATGAAAATAAGTAACAGAAAACCTGTCCAGCACATTTGTCTTCTATCCTATACATGCAGAAGCTGCTTTCACAGCCGCTTTGGAAAGAGTTGTTTGTCCTTCCCTTTCGGCCATGCAGAAAATACCTATTCGGCTGACTAACCTTTTCTCAAGCCCAAAAAGAAGCATTAACAATTCTCCGAGGGTCAGCAACGGTGGCTAGCTAATGATAGCAGACCAGAGGAACGAGCTGTCCTACCTGCTGGTGAGCTCATCCAGCAAAGCACTCATGGTTACAGCAGATGTTGAAGCTTTCCAGACACATTTGTTCTCCCCTCCCAGCAGCAAGCTCGCACAGCACGGAGGTCTGGAGAACAACGTGGCACGGATACGTGCAGAGTGCACAGGACACAAGAAAGGATGGCCACAGGCCTGCTACCGTGCTACTCACCAGCCTGCTCCGGCGAGCCTTCTGGGCACTGAGCTGATGTGCATGGCTGCACATTGAGGAATCAAACAAACAAATAATAAATAAATAAATAAATAAATAAATAAATAAATAAATGCAATCTTTGCTCAAGTTGCACACCTATTTTTGATTCATTTAATCAAGGAAAGTGAATCTTTATTACTATTTTTAGCACTGATGTTGTTTTATCTTTCTGAAAACATTTTACAGACTTTCAAAGTGAGCTTTTGTACTGATGAGCCTGGATTATGCTATCTTATGCAACTCTTCTGCTATAACTCTTATGGTATCTCATGCTAGCACTCATATAAGACTTACAAAATAGGAACATGGGGGAAAGCATCTAAAAACATAGACCCTGGGTTACAGTCACAGGAAAACAGTGTTCACAACTTCTTAACTACATTTGTTCAAGTGCTTTATTAGTTTCAAGTGGCTTTGCATCATCTTTATAATTCACTTTCCACAGATTCCCTAGCAAGAAGTTTAATGGGAGACAGCCACTGAAACAAGGATTTTTAAGAAAGGCCTACAGAAAGTGTGCCTAATGTATTTTAAAGTGGCAGTCCCATACGTCCATGCTGAGAAATTGATTCCAAGATTTGTTCTGAATACCCCTGAAGTCTGTGGAGATCATTATGGAGGGTCCAAAGTAAAGCTATAGGGGTAGTGTAGGTTATTCATACTGGTCTTAATTTGTACAGCAGCAACACTGCAATGTCTCATTTGTGATCCACGGACTTTTTAAGTAAGGAAGGGATCAAACACAAAGAACAACAACAAAAAATGTGTCCCTCCATTAGTGATAAATAATCTTCATTGGGAGTATATTTTGATACTCACTACACATTGCTTCCAAACAAGCTACAAGCCAAACTACTCTGCAGGCACTGTTTGGTGAACAAACAAATACATTCTAGAAGACTGCAAGCAAAAAGGCAGAGCACACACCAGATAATTTCTTCCTCATGCTTTGTTCATCCATCTCTCCTTGGCAGGTACTTCAGGGGGGCAAGTTGCCACAGGTGGTGTTGATTTATGTGATTAATAAATGTCCCTTCATTCACTAAGCAACCAGTGAAATAGTCTACACATAATAAAATTATTTTATGCATTATAATAAATTAAATGGAGTGTTTTAATGCCTCAAACAGTAATGGATTTTTAGTAATCATGTTCCCATCACATAATTTAAATACAACTAGGTCCACCTTTAACTAATTTCTAAAATAAAATGAGATATAGAATTATAAGGTGCTACAGCTGGTAAGAAAAAATAAATAGATTTGATCCTCCCATACTAGGCTAGTACCTTCAGGGTGTTAAGCGTAACACAGGGCATATTATGTATCAGATAAACGTGATACAGAAGTCAAGCCATAAATACAGTGCAATAGGATGTTTTAGCATCAGAAGTACTTCTAGTTTTTTTGTCAGCCACACCAAACCTCAGCAGAGTCACCTCACAATCTCTTTCATGTTAAAGTGTCCTTCCAAAAAAAATAAGGTGGGATACCACAGAACAGAGACTTTAAAAAAAAATAATTTCATTTAAAGAAAAACATTTTAAAGGAGGTAGATTTGCTACATGTTTTACGCATACCATGCAAAAAGTGGTTTCTACAACATATGGAAAGTATCTGAATCAGTAAGACAATGATCTTCATAAATCACTCCTGGTTCCAACACTAAATTATGTCTTGTTCCCTCTCTCATGGGATATTCACTGTATCTCATACAAACTCGTGGTTGTATGTGCACAGTATTCATACCTTTATAGAGAATTATGTCACACCAACACATAGAGGGTATGTAAAATGAAGAGTAAACACATTTTTATGAGATTCTGACCAGATGGACCCACATACTCCACTCTTTATCACTTCCCTTTGGCTTAAGGGAATATTCTTTTCGTTGTATATGATTTATTAAATAGACTAACCAAAACTCTGGGGAATTCTTCTTCAGACTTTATTTATGCAGCAGTGCACTGTGGGTGGCAATGGCCAACACAGTGCCACACAAGAGAATAATGTGGGACAGAGATCCCATTTCCCTCACCTTAAGTACATGAAGGCTTTAGGTTTGTTCAAGCTAAAATCCATCTGCCTATGAACACAATGAGGATTTATGAGATCTTGATCAAAAGCATGTTACAATTCAGTTAAGACAGCTGCTTGTGGCTAGTCTTACCTTTCCTTCCTGTCACAGGTATGTTAATTAGACAAACAGTCAGCCTTTTGTTTTGTCTTCAAGATCTACAACCAGGAATATTCTTCTCCTAAAAACAATGTAGAAAGAACATATGGAACTGTACATTTACCTTCTGCTTTCAGTAAACATCTACCTGTTGATCCTGTTCGTATGGTTTCAAATGAGCACCTCATGTTAACAGAGGTTCTTCATAACTATATCTTCACAGAGATAGTTTTAATTAGCTTTTCAATATATTCTGTTTCTTCTGTACATTTTTTGTCCATAAAGATCTTCAGAGAAAACTTACCTTCATGAGCCAACATAGTCTATGATTTAGCATGCAATACTTAGAAAAGAAATGTCCCCAAATTCAAATTTTAGTTCTGTCCCTACTGGCAATTATCTGCACCTCGACACTCTCATTTAACAGCTGCTAATGACTACTTTGTAAGGTGTGTATGCAAAGTCCTACCTGACCATTGCCTTTTCATAGACAAATGCAAGAATACACATCGTGCTTCATGGACATTATTGATATCGTAACTGACGTATTTCCTTTTTTTTTTTTTTCCTTCAGTGAAATTTTACTGAAAAGAAGAATAAAAGCAGAATTTCACAGTGTGGACTCTGAACATACGTAGGCCTGAAAAGTATATAATGTCAAAATCTATATCATTGACCATACAATAAAAATATAATCCCTTAAAAAGATGCTTGAACTACTACTACTTCAGTTATTTGTGAACTAATTGAACTCATTCTGCAATGTGCTGACAAAAGATAAACACAAAAATGCTAAAACTCCTCTTGAATGAGGATCATGCTTCAGCAGAAATTACATATCCATCTGTATCGTTTAGTTGTATGTGGTAAAGCAAACATTCTTTCTACAGATTGCTAACATGGGATTTATGAATTAATAATGTCATTGATTTGCTTAAACATTTAAATCTGTGTGGTTTGGGATTGTCTTTGGCTCTAGCAACCAGATTGTTTAAAGTGACTAAAGTACAGTGAGTCGCAGTTATAAATAATGGCAGGGTGAAACACTAAACAAAAATTTCCTAAGTTTTCAACCAAATAGGAACAACCAAAATCAATGGTGACTACATTTTCACTAAAATGATAATGCTTTATACTAGTGCCTTGGTTTTGAATTGAGCTTCAATCTGAAATTGTTACCTAGTTGTTAGAACTTAAAGAGGAGGCAATGAGATGTCAGTCTGCACTCCAGAGATGATTCTGAGACCAGGAATCTTCATAAAGAGCATTTGTCCTCCCTCTGAAATGATATTCACAAACCAAGTTAAGAATATCAAATCCTAGATGAAAAGAAAAGTATGATGCACAGCTTTAAATCCAGATGGAGTTTGGATGTACAGTATATAGGTAAAGCACGGCCACATTGCAATAAAGACGAATGAATAAACCAAAGCTATGTAGGGCAGGTAGATGTGAAGAGAAACAAAACATCACCAGTGCTATTTCTCAATGGAGATAAGACACTTCTTTTAAAAGGACCTTCATCTTTCAAACTTTACTGGCAGAAAGCAATTCATCTTCTCCTGTGCCAGAGTGGCAGAACCGTTCTCCTGTTTTCAGAAATACAGATAACTCCTTTGGCATAGTTAACAGCTTATACCATAGAGAATAAGGCAATGAAAAATTCTGCCCCTTTAACTTAACACAGATGAGCTTTTATATATGTAACATCCCTCAGTTAAATATATAATCTGATTAAGAAGCAGAAATGTTGCTGTTGGTTTTACATTTCCAACGGGTGTGTGTGTGCATACATACATATATGTATACATCATACTTTTTTTTAAATGCGTGTTAAGTTAGGGGAACTAGAAAATTCTTATCTGAGATTCATCATAACTAAATAAAGCAGTTCTGGCTTTCTGATGTCTGTTTTCCCTCACTGGGACTTGCCACATGAGTGTTGCCAAATTTATCACTTATTCTTGGAATGTCTCATTTGCATCACTTACTGCTCACACATGTGCCAGAACAACGAGATCGGGACTATCCCCACCAGCCTCTGCACTGCAGTCATCAGGTTTCCTGAGCATCTGACTTCCTTCCCTAAAGCGGAGGGGCCAGAAAAATCCCTGAATATAACAACTAGTGAAATCCCTTTTCCTCACGCTGTAATGAGGTTATACTAACTACTCCTTAGTCAAGGTAAGAGTTTCCTTTAAACCATAATCCCAATACTGAATTCCTGTAACAGAGGGAAAGAAAAGCACCTTTCCATTTAAAATATCTGCTGTCTAGACCATACACAGAGAAAGATATTTATCGTGGAACAATCAGACAAACCATTTTGTAGTTAGGAGGCAATGAAAAATACTAAGTTTTGGTGTTTGGACATTTTGTCTTTTTGTTTTTCCCCGTTTAGAAGTTGCACTCCTTTCCTTACTCCTCTTTTTGCCCCCTCTCTCCTACTCAAAGAATTCCAGAGATTAAAAACTTCCTTTGCAAACCAGCCCTCAACGAACACAGAGGTCTATTTTCAAAAAAATCATAAAAAAAATTATCAATGGGGATGTGTGACATGACTGGCACAGGGATCAAGAGCTTCCCTGACACGTTTGACAAATATTAAAGACTTTGCCATGCCTTAAGTGAATTTTTATGGTTTGTATTTTACCTGCCTACATTTAACCTTCAAGAATCTGTACAGCTGCTGGTTAACTCCTGCGCCACGTAAATCACGGTAGCTATTTGTGTACTCAGCATCTTTGAAAAAATATTTCTGCCTATATACCAGGGGCCTAACTTCAGGCATGCGATCTGTTAACTTCTCATTCTGGAAGTAAATTAGAGCATATAACCAGCCACTCAACTTGTGAACACACCACGTGTTTCTTTAACCATACACACCCAGAAGTGATGCTACTGCCCTACAGACCTGTTTGCTTCTTCTGGGCTATCCAGTGCTACACTAAGGGGACAAATGACAAGTTTCTGACAATCATCAGTCATCATTTTTCCTCTGATTACAACAATCCAAACCTATCAGGAGAGAAAGGTGCAAACTTAAAATGCCTTCACAGTCCATTGCCTCTCTTAAAATAAATGTGCAACATAAAAATATCACATTGTACATTCCAAAAATAACCTCCTTGCCCTTCTATTTCTGCCCTGCCTCAGGCTAGTGACAAGAAGCCTCATAAACCACCACTCAACAGCAGCATCTGGCAATTTTTAAAGTTCAGTAATAAAAACAAGAAAGGGTTGATCAATTTACTTGACACTTAAAAATAAATCTAATCCAGCCAGGGATTAACAACAGGGTTTTTACACCAAATAACTTTGCCAGCAAAAGTTATACAGTAATAAAGACTGACAATCAGATTTCTAATGAACTCCTGGTCCTAATTCCTATTATAGAGAAAATACCATATCTAAATAACAATGTTTTCCTTGAGTCTTGTGGAATAAGAAAGGGTTTCTCTGATCACAGAATCACAGAATTGATTAGTGGTTGCTTTAGGGACCCCAGGTTCTGACCATATGCAAACTATTTTAGTGGTTTTTTCAGGCACAAGTTTTGCCAAAAACCTCTAAGCCTCATTAGCTAAGCATGAAACGCGGTACTCACAGAAGTTGCAAGCCCCACAGGTCATGCCAACAAATCTTAAAAACTTCTGTGAGGCCTCCAGTACTTCTTTTGTTCAGGCTGGTTACAAACTGGTAAGCTCCTGAGAAATCAATGTGGTACCTCGTAGGAGCTGTCAGTCTCCGGTGAACTTCAGATGTAATACAGGTCTCACTACACTTGGAAGTGCAAATTATTCAGTTAGTTTTGCCCTTTTAAGTAAAGGTAAAGGTACTTCTTAAATAGAAGTGCTTATGTAAAACAGAATTAAAGCTGGGGATACATTGTTCTTTAAAATGCAAGCCCTTGAAGTGCCAAAAAAAATGTAAGTTTGTAGCCAAGTACCTTCAGTGTTCCTTGTTTCAAACTCTTTATGCCACCTATTTTGGCTACAAAGACAAGATGACTGCCCCAACAACTTCCTTCTACACCGGTCATCAGATTATCTTCCTTCAGTGCCTTCACGGTTGAAAAGAGCAAAGTATCTGAAGGCAGACCTGCTCTGGTGGAACTGGCATGCGTGGGAACAGATTAGCCTGACATTGGAGTCTCAGTTTGAAGACGCAGGTTCCTGCTGAGCTTCCTGAACTGCAGGCATAAAGCATTTCCAAAGGGATGAAGAGTAAATTTCTGCTCAAATTGCTTGGTGCAGTGGGCCTGGCTGGGATGGAGTTAATTTTCTTCATAAAGGCTCGGATGGTCCTGTTTTAGATTTGTGACAAAAACAATGCTGATAACACGCCCAAGTTTTAGCTGTTGCTGCAGGGTGTTTGCACAGCATCAGGGCCTTCCCTGCTTCTCCCTCTGCCCTTCAATGAACAGACTTGGGACGCACACAGGCGGTGGGGAGGGGACACGAGCAGGCAGAACTAACCAAAGAGATATTCAAGGCCAAATAATGCCATGACATCTTCTGCTTGGGAGCTGGCTGGGCGTTGTTCTACCCATGGGAAGTGGTGAGTGATTGCTTTGTATCAATTCTCTTGTTTTCCTTCTTTCTTCTTCACCTCTTCTTTGCTTGTTAAGCAACTGTGTTGTGACCCCAAGTTTTCTTGCTTTTCCTCTTCTTTTCCTCTTCCCCTGGCCCTCTGGGGTTGGGGGGCCATGGGTGGAAGTGAGCAAGTGGCTTTGTAGCACTTAGCTGCCTACTGGGGTTAACCCACAACACTTGGATATCTTGATCTACGTGCCAAGACATTTCAGAGCCAATAAGAAGAAACATGCCAGAGTTCAACTGAAATGAAACCCGGCTACATTACTTGTGTAGCTTTTGCATTTCTCTCTGGCTCTCTTTGCTGCTGATTGCTACCATTTGGTTGCAGTTGCCTTGGGCAGTGGCCCATCCAGTTCAAAATTAAATCTAGCAGTGGCCAAAAAACTTAGGAGACTTCTTCTGTACTGGGGTCCCCAGCCTGTTTGGAGAGACCCAATAGGCTCGGATCAGCATCTGTGCTTTTTACTGCTAAAGTAAAAAAGTCCAAAAAAGTAAAGTCCAAACCAGAACAAACCTCTGAATACTTTGAGATTCACACATCACCACTATACTATTATTTCCTAGACACTCAGCGTTGCCAGTATAAATTAAACAAGCTTTGTAACCTACAGTTATGGCTACCCATGAAATACAACATGAAGTGCAATGCAGAGAGCACAGCTGCACTCACTTTAGTTGCACAGGTCTACACAGTTTTGACAGATTTGATGAACTCTAATTACATTGAAATACCCTTCTGTCTTTCATGCTCAGAAATCTTCCCCTCATGTGCATTTCTCTCCATAACACTCTGCACCTAGGGGACGCAAGGAGGATGACAGCCTCACCTTTTAACTCCCTGTCTGTCCCAAGGGCTGAACAATGGCTCATATCACATTGCAAGAGGCAGTTTTATGGAGACAGGGTGACCCCTTGGCCCAGTAGTAACATACCATTTACCTCAGGTTTCTGAGCTATAAACTTTGAATGCCAAAAAAAAAAAAAAAAAAATCTTTTCATTTTCCAATATTTTCCCACACTGAGAACAACACCCTGGTCGACATGTGGGATGCGATACTGCATGGCTTCAGCAAGGAATGTTAACACACAAACACAAAGCAAAATGTGATGAGTAAGTAAGACATGGATCTCTGGGATGCCTGATTTGGCAGGGGGAAAGCACAGCTGAATAGCCACCAAGTTACTCTTGCCTCAAAACCAGAACAAGGCCCCAGAAGGGAGTACAGATGTTAATCAACTCTCTAACCCCATCCTGCAGTCTTCCACGCCCTACCAGCTAGAAGACAAAAGGGTTTCAGCTCGAAAGCCCATCCACATCAGAACATTTTGGCTTAAAGCACGGCAGTCTGGTCATCACCCAAATGCACTGAAATTGTCCTTCCACCAACTTCTCTCCTGTATATGGGGCCAAGGTTCACCTGGCACCAGCAGAGGTGATAGGTTGTCCCGTTCCCTGCTTTGACGGAGAAGTCCCTGGAGCAATACAGCTACAAAGACTGGGAGCCGTGCACATGCATTTGGGTCGGAGGCCACTCGTAAGCTTGTCCTCACGGTACAGGCAGCTAGAATAGAAATAGAAAACAGCTAATACATGGCATGGACAGAAGAACACTTTAGAAGTAAACCAGAAGTTTAAAAGGGATGGTAGGGACGGTCTCTTGGGATCAGGGCTTTTTTTTTTTTGGATGTGTTTGCTTTTTTATAAATGGCACTTCATATATGGAAAGCAATAAATTCCTACTCCTGCATTAAGTTAAATGGTCTAGGTCTGTTGACTTCAAAACAGCAGAGTCAGTTTACACTGACCAAGAATTACATAAATCTGTTCTGATTAAAACCACAATGGTTTGAGATACAGACTTCCTCCTTTTTCCTCTGATATCATTCTAATTGCTCACCACTTGCACTTGAAGTGTTACAAATCAGAGGTTTGTAACTCTCTTTCAGTTTCCAACCAATATGATAAAAATGACTGGAGCTTAGGAAACTATTTTTACAGTAAGTGCAATAGGCTCTGAAAGGCTCTTAAAAAAGCCTTTATAAAAGTGAGGTAGACATTCCTTTATCATTGAAGTACTCATGGTTCAGAAGTTGACATATTTTTATGCTTATTGGATCAGACATGGAGGCTTCTGGTAAAGAAAGTGGAAGGAGACTGTGGGAAAGATTGTCATAACTGCAAGCAAACAACACGTTTTACCTTCACCGAAGTTGGTGATCATGATTGGCTTGACTCTGAGGTGTTGAATGTACCGTAAAAGTGGACTGAAAGCAAAGGAGACTGGTTTAGACCTTAAAATAAATAAATAAATAAAATTTAGGAGGGCCATAAAAATAAACAACGACAGATTTAATCTTATTGTGAAAGGAACATAATACGACTATTGCTATCCCACAATAACTATGCAGATTTTAGAAACGCTTCCTTTCCAAGTCATCAACTTGCATTAAGTCTTCAGTAAAATTAGAAACACAATGAACAAAGACAAATATTTGGAGGTGTTGGCACATTACATGGAGCTACCCATTATCAGCTTCTGAGAAAATAGAATTTCTGGTTGGATTTCATCCTGTGAACGCAAAATTCAATGATATTTAGGCTTAGCATAATTCTTCTCAGTTTCTCAGATAAGCAATTATAATAATATTAAAGCTTACTTTTATTTTCTTTTTCTCCTCCAAAAGAAGCGAAAGCACTACATTAGTCTCCCTTGAACTCTGAGGCTGGTGAAGAACCCTGAGATGTCTCTAAAACTTCATTTTTAACAATTGGTGTATCATTAATACTTTTGTGGTTGTAATAAATTACTTTGCCTGAAACAGCTTTAATAAGAATGGACATTCTTCCAATTTTATTGTGGTTTGTATAGGGAAAAAATAAAATTGTATAGAATGAGGGAGGGTTTTTTTTTATTTTATTTTTAATAATGAAGAAGCACAATCTTCACAAGACAAAAGTTTTAGGAGAATGTCCAAGTAAAACTGGGAACATATATATTTTTCAGGGTTATTTATAGATACAAATTAATCTCCACCACGTGAGTTAGCAGTACGTTCTGCGTGATCTGTGTCTAATTTAAAATATAAAATCACAAGTACTCCAACTCAGATTTTTACCATAGCATTGAATGCAGTGTCCTGGTCTGCTAGTCAGAAAAAAAACAGCAAATAACACTGACTTACTAATTATTTCTAGGATATCACTGGTAGCAGGTTTTAAAAAAAGACGCAATCAAATTCATTCCTGTTTTAGAAGGTTGTCATTCATCCTGAATCTCCTTCACCAAAAGATTTTTCAACCTTCCCATTTCTGGAAGAAATACTCATTAGCATCAGTAGCTTTTTCCAAATGAGCATTTACATTAAAAATATAAATGTAAGAAATATACTTTCCTTTCACAGAATGCAGGAAAAAGGGATGATCTGGGTGACAGAGCACTGGAATAGTTTGCCCAGAGAGGCTGTGGAGTCTCTTTCTCTGGCAATATCCAAAACGTGCCCGGATGCCATCCTGTGCAATGTGATCTAGGTGAGCCTGCAAGGCAGGGAGTTGGACTGGATGATTTCAGACGTCCCTTCCAACCTTGTCCTTTCTGTGATTCTGTGAAATGTTTTCAATTTTCATGTCTTCAGAGTGCAAGCAGTCTGTAAGGGACATGAAGCAGGCTTGACTGTCTGAAAATGAGAAGAAAATTCAGATTTTTCTATATGTCTCACCCTGGAAATTTGCAGAATCTTAAGGCATCCAGAACAATGAGTCACTTTGGAAAATCAAAATCTTTCACTTCAAGTCTCACCAGAACAAAGAGTAACAGACAGTACAAATGCAATTAAACTGAGGCATCATGGTTGTCCTTTTCAAGGTGCAACCATACCATCCCAGTTCTTTAGAGGGATTTTTAATATATTTTTTTTTTCAGTTTTTAAATGAGGAAGGGTGCAGTGAATTTTTTTCATGATTGGATTACAACAACCTGACAAACACTGCATGGTGGCTGCATAAACAGGTGTTTATCTACGGTATAATGATATAGAAAAATACATTGTCCCTCTATGTTCTAGGAGACATAGCAGACTCACTCACAGGAAGAAAATAAAAGTAATTTTTTGGCCTTTGAATGTTTTTGGATGTGTAGTTAACACTGATTCCACTATTTAGCTATATACATGTATCTGTTTTATTTTTGCCAGAACATTTAAAAAACAGATGGCCATAAAGAATGCTACACCCTGTTTAACCATTATATTTCAAAAATAAACTACAACGTTTACAGGAACAGCAACAAAGTCAATGCTTATTTAATAGTTTCATTTGGGATTAGAAGTAATAATGGTCATGGTGATGTCTCTACTAACATGCTGGCTAAACGAAATATCAAGCAACAAAAAAACTCCCAAACAGAGGCATGTGTTTGGTCCTACCATTCACTGTTGGAACGCTGTTTCATTGCTGGGGAAATGGCTCCCAGGATCTTCTTGTCTTTTATTTAAAACAAGGGACCTACACTATGAAGTTCATCTTCTCTGCTAGGGCCACTCCTTTTTGTGCAAATAAACATCAATTTATCAAACCAACTGTGCAGCCAAGAGTTATAAAACGACCTTTGGGAAGTCCAAACTGCAAAGTACATCATCCCTCTATTGCAGAAGGTGGTGTATTTGTCTATTCTCTATCATGACACTCTTTAGAGTCTTTTATTAGTCCTCATCCCTTCGGTCTTCGTCCAATGCTGAATGAACAAAAGTTCCAAAATCTCAGAATTTTATGCCAAACAGGATTCTAGCCAGACCTAATGAAGCCACATCTGGAGAAGATAATGAAATTATCTCAGACCTTATCTTTTTATGGGATCTGCTGTCATTAATTTCTTTTTTTATTTTTTATTTTTTTTGCCACTTCAGAACAGTTACATTTATTTTCACATTTTGCACATTTTCATCTTTCTTCAACTCTCTCTCTTACAGTTATATTCTTTCTTGCCATGTTACTCCTGTCTCCCTGAGCTACACATTACATCTGATACATTGAACTTAACCTAAGAACACTCATTCTATTTTAAGCAGCTTCCTCCAGTCCAGATCTCAGCAAACACAAATCTGAGTACAGACACACAAGATCTGAGTGCAGTGATCCTAAGGAATGGTTTTCTGCAATTGCAAGGCCAAACAATAAAGAAGAAGAAAGCAATATAATGAGATGATAAGAAAGAGAGTAAGATCTAGCAGGAGAAAAACAAAACAAAACAAAACAAATCTAGTAGTATCTGATCTTATCTTCAGTGATATATTGGACAAAATTGCTAAGGGTGACAGTTTAGTGAACATGAAGTAGTTTTTCACACTTACTGAGCAGTTGAAAACTTATCTAGTTAGATTAAACATTTTGTTGAGTCCTCAGTTAAATCTCATGTTCATATTTTAGCATTTAACTTGGAAATATGTATAATTTAGGATGGAATAAACCAAGCAATTTAATAGGCAGAAAATCAAAGTAATAGGTCTTAAGACTATCAACTCATATTTCCCAGCATTTTGCACTAGATACTAACAAAGTCATAAAAACATCAAAACAGGAATTTAGAAGCAAGAAAAGAAAACTGAAACATCTTCAAGTGAGATTCAAAAACCAAAGTCAAACAGAAGGCAACTACAGTAGAATATTTTCTAACAAAAGAATATTGCCTATGAAACTATTGAACCATTGTAACCAAGGTTTCTGGAAGCAAAATTGTAAGGTTAATCTGCAAAGGATAATTTTTTTTGCCATAGCTGAAGAACAAAAGAAAATAGTGCAGTTTTTCCAAGATGGATATAAAGAAATTATCAGCCATTTAGATTGCTGTGTTTCTATCAGCCAGTGCTTCAGTAAGCAAGGAAAATGTGAAGCAACATGAAGTACTAAAATGAAAAGAGATTTCTTACAAGAGTCCTTTGATAGATGCTGAGAAAATATATTTTTAATTAATCTTGAAACATTTTTAAATGCAAAAAGAGAAGAGCAGAGGGAGAGGGAGAGAAAAGAGAAACATTCTTCATGGAGTGTACCAAATACAACAAGGTATCGTCAGGCCAGAAGCTTGACAACACTCCTGGACAAAATAAAGAAAAATTTTATGTGGATTTAACTTAATACAGAGCTAAAGAGTAGTGTTCTGTCTTTCCTAATTTCCAGATGCACACATATTTGGCAATGTCTCTCAGACTCCTCGACAGTGCATTTAAGCCCTTTGACAATGCACTTAATTTCCTCTTAGTCTGCCTTTGCAGACTCAGTCATTAGACTCCTGTGTACTGCTGATAACTACTGAAACTAATAATTTATGAACATAAATGCCAGTTGATACTGTTTTATAAAGGAATAGTCTTATCAAAGACACCTGACTTCATTCTCAAGGGTTTTTAGAGAGAAAGTAACTGTGCAGATGTAACAGATACAGACTTTTACAAGACCTCTGACTTCACTCCATATCACAATCAGTCTAAATCATGATATACACCATGAGATACCATTTTCTATACCATCCAGAAGTCATTAATGATAATTACAGTGAAATACTCAGATAACAAGGAAGACAGGTTTGTAAAATGAACTGATCTGAATTTCATAGCCGTCTGCAGGTTTTCAGACAGTATTCATTTCAATTCTGTGAAATACAAAGCGAAGTATTTGGGAGCACAACATGGAGGCCACGCCTACAAAATGAGGGCCAACAATGAGGAGCCAAAGCAACCAACAACAAACAACTTCCCAGGGATATGTTGTGACTTAAGACACTGCCATGCCTTTCAAATATAAAACAAGAGAACGATGAGTGGGAGAAAAGAAAGGATCTCATCTCTGTATTTAACAAAGCACAAGGGAACGCGTCATCCAGTTCTGGCATCTTTGCTTTCTTTATTTTTTTCAAATTTTTTTCAAAATTGCACAACTGAAAGCAATATTTTTTTCTTCCTTGTCAAATATCAAATGCAGCTAAAGAGATATATCAAGATTTATGCCCAACTGTAGTGCATCGTACAGTATTTCTAGCCACTGTCCCCTGAGGTCTCACTCCATCCCACTTTAAGCTCTTTTCAATCCAAATTTGAAAGCTGCTGACTCTGTGAATGACTCACTGACCTTCAATCCTCCCCATCTTTGCTCCCTATGTTTATGTTGAATCTCATGTTTAATCGTTGCAAAACAGTAAGGGATTATAGAGGGGACAGCTCGCATACACAGGTATACAGGCATACAACTAAATATACTCTTGACGTAACACAAAGTGCCAGAAGACAAAGTTCAAGAAATGTCCATCAAGTTTGATCAGGAAATAAAAAAGCTGTTTGTACAAATCCATGTTAAGGCACTTAATTAAAAGGCTCTATTTTCAAATCCACTGGGCAAAGTTTAATTAAAATTAAACCTCTGAATTAGATGCCTGAATCTTATCATAGAGACCCTGATTATTATCCAAGCCAATAAAATTATTAAACTTTCTGAACTGCTTTATGAAAAGAAAATACAATTTGTCACTATAAGCTTCATAAACAGCATTACCAACAACTGCTTCAACTCATTCACTACACAAGTGTGGGTTTCCGGAGTAACTACTTCCTTAGTCACTAACTAACTGAACTTGAATTAGACCGAAACCTTACTAATAGAAGAACAAGAAGACCTGCTGAAAAAGATAAAATGTGTAATGTTATTGGTCACGTTTGAGAAATGGCCACTGCCTCTGCAAACTTCTCTGCCTGAACTACACCTGCTGAACATGGCTGTTGAAATATGGGTTGCAAGGGAACAGAGACCAAGATGAAGTAAGGGATGCTTCTGTCAACCAAGCCACCTAGAAATTCTCTCACATTCTCCTGTAGTTTGAAGGTTAAAACTTTTTCTACAAGCAGATATCAGCGAACTCTTCTCAAAGGTAAGATCTTCCTGAGAAACACTCAAGACAGAGGTAATGACTAAGAGGTATGACATATCTGCCACACAAGGAATATCTCTTCTGCTATTCACCAGCTGCTTCTATTTTCATAATCTAGAATCTGAAACAAGATAATAATTCACACTGATTACTTCTCATCCATCCTGCCAACAGTGGCTGCAATGAAGGGGAAGAGGATCATTACATCCAACCTCTGCGCAAAAGACTAATGCAGACAAAGAAGAAAAAAACATAACACTACTCTGAAAAATGCTGTTTTGTAATTTCCTACAAAGGCAAATAAGAGAGAATAAATGCATATGCCAGCTACACAACACATGATCTCCTTTGCGGTGCATTACAGAAAACATGCCCCAGCGGCATACTGTTTGGACATATGGGTCACATTGATTTTTTGGCTGCTTATCATCAAATGCCAAATATGGGTATGCACAATAACATTTGCCTCTTTTATTCTTCATCTAATGAAAAACATTTCCTGTAGGTATTTAAAACACAAGAATCTTAAGGAACACAAAAGCATTTTCTTTAATAAAACCATTTTTTTCCCTAAAAGATTTGACCTCTGACAAGAAGAGAGCAAAAGAAATAAGACCAGAGGTCTCCATTCTGGTTAAAGATGTACCAATTAAAGAATGCTCTAATTAAACAATGATAAAATGTCGGGGGGGGGGGGGGGGGGGGGGTCTGGATTAATTTTTAGTTTCTAGAGGACTGATTTTCCAAAGTAAAATGGAAAAGGTTAACAGGTTGTGGATCATATGGACTGTTTGGACTAATTTTTTACAATCTATGCCACAGCTTGTGTTAGGATATACGATTATATAAGTGTATTCAATCAGAACTAGTGGCAGTCCTAGCTGTTTTTCAGCTTCTCTGATGTTCTTCACATTGAAGTCTGTTACATTTCAATTTCATACTCTGTGAACAGAAATATGCTAGTGTAATTTAGGTGGTCTTGCAAAGGATACAACCAGTGCTTTCAGTGTGTAGGACAGATTATAAAGATAATAAAATAAAAAGGAGATAACATGGTTACTTGTGGTTTTACTGCCTGAATGAAGAGAAGAAAGCAGTATTTTTATCATGCCTTCATGTACAAAACAGGCAGTTCATGACAGTTTTCTACATATTATATTTACCAACATGGTTTCAGTAAATTTATTGCAATAAATGAGATACAAACAAGGATAATATAGCTATCATCATGCAGAACTTCATAATGAAATAGTAAGAGTATATAAGACTTGCTTCTTGAAGTATGAGCCTTGAGCCCTCCAGCTAGAGGCGAAGCCCTGGCAGCTTGTGATAGCTATGCAGTTGTAACCAAACCCAGTCGTAGTTTCCTAGAATTTCAATCTCAAATCTCGGTAATGCTGTGCTTTTATGGACATAATAAAATAGATTTAGCTATCCATAAAAAAGAGGAAGCTTTTCTTTGTTTAACAAAACTAATCTTCCAAACCTTTCTCAGGGCATTTAATAGGGGCCAAGCAATTAAGTTTGGATCTTGAGTACAGGAAGATCCTGTATTTTTGTTTAGAATCATTTGCGTTTTCTTTCCAACTGACCTTAGTCAAATGAAAATGACAAATTTGTATCCTTCAGATACCATCTGAGTTTTCTAAGAATCAGTGGAAGGCTAGACTCTTACATGAATAGGACATACCTGGCTGGACATGAAAGCAGGGGGAAAAGAAGTCAGCACAAACAGTATTGCAGATTTGCATTAAGGACATTTATATCTGCCTTCTTCATGTGGTTTCCATTCAGCCCTTAAAATGTAATTCTGTATGGAAAAAATAAAAAATGTGTTAAAAAGTTCTGCTGTTGCTAAACTAGGTCTCATTTGCATCTGCTGACAAAAGGTTTTATTAGCATAACAGTGGAAAGCCAATAAACCCAATAGCAGCAAAAGAGCAAACTGTCCTGACAACTTTATTTTTGTTAATGACAAACAGAAAGAACTGCATGATCATTGTCAAACAAACTCTGGGGCTGATCCAACACAGTCTGATGTCTACTTTTCAGTTTTTGACTTGAGGAAGATCATTACTGGGTTCTGAGTTTGTAGCACTGGCACACATTACAATTCCAAAATACACTACCAGGTTAGTTGCCAGCAATCTACATATAGTAAACCCATTCTGTACTTAATTCTGTACTCCATTTATCTTCAAATTATTCTTTCTTTTTTCCCATCCTTTTCCCAAAAATATTTAAAAACACTGCAATGAAATTCATAATCATTCCCAGTTCCCTTTTAGCATTGCCTTAAATATATATGTTTCTTGAGATATTCTTAGGGGACAACCCGACTAGACAGACATTAAAAAAGCTTGGCATTATACATGAAGTTTTCGTATAAACTTTTTCAAAACTCTAGGAGAAATGTCATCCAATGCTCATTCTCTCTCTCTCTGCTCTTCAAGAAAAGTTTCGCTTTTTTTTCACTATGGGAGATTCCACATCCTCATTTCTATTTTCTTGCTTGCTTTTATTTCTTCGTTTCATGTGAACTTTAATGCAGACTAACAAAAGTGTAGTCTTTGGAAATTTGCCAATACTATCCTTTAAACTTCTCTCCCTCCTTTGTACAGATATGCAGATATGGGAAATTTATGACTGGTAGAGCAAACCAGGTCACATCAACAAACCCTTGAGGCCAGTATCTATCCTTTCTCCAAAAGCAGTCAAATGCTTGTTAATCTCAGGCAGATAAGAGCCAACCTGTATGACATCCTAATCAAGTCTCTATCAATGTAAACAGAATTCCTCAAGGAACCAGAAGAAAAAAAAAAAAAAAGAAAAAAAATACAGAAAGTATCACAGTGGATAAGAATGTTTTATACCTCAATTTAATATTTAATAACCTACTTGTTACTTGCTAAAAATAAAAATAAAGAAAAACACTGAAGACTATTAATCTGGGTCATGTTCTGAAGCCCACTATCAACAGAAAAATCATTTTTGAAATTCCTAACAAAGTTGTAAACTACAAAATAAAATACAGAGGGGTAGAGGAGTGTGGAACTGTATAGTTGGAGAAAAAATAATTCACAACACCAATAGTCAACTGGAAGAAGAATGAATTGTCAAAAAGAGTTGATGTTATTACATGTCTATATTGCAACAGTTCCTGGAAGACCTGCTTGAGATTTAGGCCCTACTGCATTAGGCAGTGCACAGAACACAATGAAAGAAATTAAAAATGAACAAACAAACATCAACAACAACAATAAAAAACAGCTAGAGTCCAGTCACCAAAGGCTTCCCTGACAGCAAATCAGAAAAACATGACTTAAAGTTACATCACGTCATAGACCAACGAGGTGGTCCTCTGCTATTAATTACATAGAAAGTCACAGCCGTTAACAATGCCTTCTTATTCCATGCCCTTCACAGTTACATGCTGAGAAAAATGGCATGAAATGGGAAATGAATTCAAATTTGAGAATGAACAATAACTTGGGGAGAGTTTACATCAAAAAAATGAGAGTGCTAAATATTAAAGGCCTTTTAATATTTAATTAAAACAAAGGCAAAGGTCTTTTCAAACATGCACAGTGAAAACTCCGGAATTTGAACTGAATGTATCAGAGGTACTTTTGAAAGGCAGCGAACAAACAATTACGTATAATTAACATGAATAAAATGCCATACTCCAGGGCAAACTTCTGCAGTATTAACATGTCAATGTACAGTATTAATGTGACAATTAGGTTGGTTTCTTCTTGCATAACAAGATCAACTACTTCATATCCAAGAATAGGAAATTATAACTACTTCACCAATAACATTTCCTCATATAACTTAATCACTGTAGGAAAAAAAATTCCTCAAGTTGTTATAGAATCTGCCTCAATCTCAACTTACATGAATCAGAAATGAGGTTATGTTAATATAAGGTTGAATTTTTATAAGCATAATACAGATCCTTAAGAGTATGTTTATGTGTATGAAAGCAGATAGCAAGAATCTTTGCTGTTGATTACGTTTAGACAAATGACCTAACGCTGTTTACAACTCCAGTAGCTTTGACTCCCTTGGCAAAGAGGAATTTTGGTTTTGGAGCTTTGCTGGTCATTTAGAAATAAGTTTAAAGGGAAATGTTTTGTGTGTTACTGCTGTGGATGTTTTCACCCCTTTTAATCCAAGCCCTATTTTTTTCTGCCAAAATGTGTAATTCCTTGATAACGAGTGGAATCTGACAAACTCGTATCCTCAGTACTGACTTCCCAAGTGGCTATCACAAATAGACACCGGAGGGTAATTAAACTGACAAGACTGCAGCAAGAGGGAAGCTTGCTTATCTTGTACTTGTCAGCATGTATATAACACAGCCTTCCTCTCTGCCAGGAGCCCCCAAAGCTCTGCAAAATTGGAACCTCCTGCTTCAGCTGATTGTCTGGCAATTTGTTCTTGTTCTACAGCTAAGCACTGGGTTTCTGACTGGAGATTATTTTAGATTAAAAAAAAAAAAAAGGCAAAAACAAACAAACAAACAAACAAACCATTAATTCTTTTAAACTTACAATTTGAGTGCAATGCTGGCTAGTTGAGTCTTTTATGCAGGTCCATTCCAACAAAAAGACTGCTATTCCTCCAACAGTTCGTATCTGTTCTGGATGAAAAAAGATTTAATTTTCCAAACCTCCAAGGATATAAAAACACCCCAGTAAGGTACATCCACTACTCTAAACTTTCCCCAATAGTATGAATGATCCAACAGAAGCTGCCATGCTGCAAATTATTAAAAGGAAAATCTTGTAGTTGGACCAACTGTAAAGTTAATAAAGATTGGGAGGAGAGATTTTTCAATAATATTGAGTTTGATCAGAAAGATGTCACATCTTCTGGCCTTCACTCAGGTAAAGTTACTAGAGACTCCAGTGGAAGTTTTGACTGAGAAAGGAGTTCAGTGTTGGGTTTGTTACTGGTCTTAAGATCCATATCAAGTTAAAATGAGTGGGGATTATCTGCCTTATCACAAACACTGACAACACTGGGGCTTTCTGGGGCTGCAAGTCACCAACTTTCTGAGCAGTTTTTTGATAACTGATGAACCTTCTGATTCTTGAACAACATCTGTTTTTCACATCTTTTTATTAGTACAAATAAACCACCACCTAAGGACCAGTTGTGGTAAATACATAGGACATTCACACACATGGACAAAAACCATTCAGGCACTCAGTACAAACTATTCAGAAGGGTTAAATACACATTGTCCAGCAAATGGGAGTTACAACTTTATCTATATATATATATGGTATCAGTTACCTGAAGTCTTGTGCAACTATAACTTGGACAATAACTTTATGAACTAGATGTGATTAAGTAAATTCTCTCTCTTTATTCAATTAGAATTCCCCCATATTACTTGTAAAGTAATACAATACTTAGTGCAACTGATGAGGACAGTGTCTTGCTGTTGGTGGAAAAATAATTATAGAAGTGGTTTGGGGTAAATAGGTTTCCTGGCAAAATACAAAAGCAAATGGTTTGGTCCCCACAAGTCACTGCGAAACAAGTAGAACATTTTGCCAAAATAGCTTAATAATGTAATTTATAACTATTTATCAGCACTAATCCAAAAAGCTTGTTGACAGCAATCTGTACCTCACTATTCGGGAAACTGTTTACTTTTTTCACTTCCCCTCTGTCTTCAGCTTTCTTGCTCTAAGTTATATTGAAAAGTTTATCAGCACAACTTCTACATTTAAATCCTCCTACAGCAGCAGCATGTTTTCTGTCTCAGTAAAATGGTGCCTAAAATTGTTTGCAATAGCATTCCCAATGTGTTTTCAATGGTTTCTCACTTAATGCCAGAATAACTGATAGCTGAAGTGCTCTCCTCTCAGTCTTCATGTGTAATACCAGTTTAGTTTTGCCTTACCTTAAGGACACCAAATGCTGAACAGGTGTTTTTCCAAGACATTATCCAATTTACACTATGGCTCACCTGGCCAAAATTCAAGCAGAAAGGTAATGATATATCAGAACAGCCAAAATGAGGAAGCAACAGCCAAACCAAGTGAGAATAAAACTATTCTGTGAATTCACTTAATGTGTCTCCAGGTTTTCAAGTATGACCCCTCAAGTCCCATTAAAGACATCTTTAAATATATTTATTTATTTATTATAAGAGAATGGATTAATCACCAGATATATGCTAAAACAATCTCTCAGGAAGGGATGAGATCATACTTGGACTTCATGCTTCTGCAACATACTTGTCTGAAAATGAACAAGCAGGTTTACCTTTTCGAAAAAGATCTCACTTTTCTGGAAAAAGAAAGAGATCTATGGCATTTTATATTCCCATTCCTGGGGTGATTGTTTCTAGTTCATTTTGTCACTTTCAGCAGTTGCAATCTGTATAATATGAGCGCTGTCAAGACAGTAAATTCTTCTTTGACAAAAATCTGACACCAAAGTCTGCCTTTAGTTTTAGAGTTCCCAGTCTGTGCACTGAGATGCAAGTCTGTGTTTTTCATAATAAATACAGAAAATCTTGAAAAGGTAAATTCAGCTGTATGAAGCACTACCACAATAAGTGTTAGATCTGATTAATCTATTCACGTTTTTAGTATGTTCTTACCCCGTGACTGAAGTGTTACTCAGCCAAATTCTTCCTGTTTCAAGAGAAGCCTTCTTAAGCAAAATTCAACCTTAAGCTCTCCAGTTAAGAAAGAATTATACTCACCATAACCAAAATGAATCAGAAAGCATTAGTATTGGTGAACTTTGTGGTTTGCCTGAAAGGTGAGACAATTGGTAGGAGATGCTTTTTTGTAAGGCAAATGCAGCAGATGAAGTAAAGAAAATTAACAGCTGAGGAGCTAGAAATGAAGGAAATACTCACAAAACTGTCACAAAGGCAAAGCCGGATGAGCAACACCTGGAAAAGGTCAAGCCCTGCAATCCTAGAATAAAGAAATCTACACCTATTATAATGCTGTGCTTCTACAGTCTCTAACGTATCCATATGCATTATTTACCCCTTTCTGATCAGTCTTATTCAAAGTAGTCAGAGGTTTTTGATTACCCTTGGGAAGTTATCAATTTACCTACATCAACATGCATTTGAAGCATTTATTCAACCATAGATTAATATGTTGTTATAGAACAGATATTGGTACATATTTTATTACAAAGAAAAAACATAAACCCCATTATAAGAAACAAGAAAACAATATTCACAACACAGGACCAGTTTCATTACTCTGAATCCAACTTCATCCTACTGAATTTAAGGAGTTATGAAGTTTTTATTTCCAACTTGCTTAGCTTCTACAAGAAAGGCAAATGGAACATTTTCATTACTCAGTTTAAGAAAAAAAAATATATTATTTCAGGGTCTCTGAAATAAACATTACTCAAATAAGGCAGATAAATTCACACTAAAAAAAAATCAAATTAATACTGTTCACGCTATTTTCTTAATTGTTTTTCTATGTGAATACTTTCCGGGTTCCACCCAACATCGGGATCTGGCAAAGATATTGAAATAAAGCCAGAAAGGACACTTTCATGCTCTTTCCAGTTCCCAATAAGCTTCTGGCATGTAACTCATTCAGCCGTCTGTGGGATGCGAAGAAAGTGGCAGTGAAAAGAGCATATGCATGACAGAAGTTAGTCAAAGTCAGCCCAGCGAAGAGATCAGTTCTGACATTCAAAGAAACAGAAATAAGTGGAAAAGAAAAAATGCATCCTCACCCAGAGTAGTCACCCTAGGATGTGATCTCTCTGTTTTTGTTTGTTGTTCTACAACATGAGGTGGGGCAAGGCTTACACCTTTGATTGTTCTGTGCCACAAATGTGTCTCTAAGAGACATTTTGAAGATACTTTAGTAAATGCCTACGGATATCTTCAAGAGGTTGATTCTGCATGACATTGAGTAGCTATCTTTGAGTTCATCAGAAGTCAAAAATAGGCAGGGCTGCTTTGGATTGGATGCTTTTAAGAAATGCAATAAGAAGAGCTGGGAATTTGGTTGGAAACAGGTAGTAGTCTGACATAGATGATATATAACAACTCATTAGATGTTTCTGACTGCTCCAAGGAAAGTTGGTAAATACTTATTTGGAATGGACGCATCTGGAAACAATAGAATCATAAAAAAAGGCAAGAGAAAAATATGAAATTATAAAACGTTGTGTATAGTTATTCAACACAGTTGGGCTCTAATACAAAATACACTTGATGCTCACTTTCCTGTAAAAATAAGAATATCGGTGAAGGGAGTTACTTCTATTCTTCCCCTCCCTGAATACAATGAATTTATAGTAGGAGACAAGTAGCAGAACATCCACTTCTTTTTCAACTACAGGTACATAATGTCAACTGTCCAGCAGCCAAAGTAAACCCACCTCAAATTCAGGTTCCTTCCACTGCCCACAAATCAAGATGGTAGACTCACGTCCTTTCTTTCTTCACGGGAACTTTACAGTGCTCTCTTGCAAGCTCTTCTTTACAGAAGAAAAAAAAAATATATATATATATATTTTTATATATATATATAATATATATATATATATTTTAATAATAGGAGGTCTAAGGTATGCTAATACTGAGCAATCTTTGGCCTCAAAACCTTTTCCCTTCTCTTAGTTTACAAGGATACCTTTCTTCCTTAAAATAAAGGACCACAGTGAGAAAACAATCAAGAAGACAGTATTATTTCTTTAACTTTTCCTGAAGTTCATTTTTTTTTCACCACTTGAAGATCTAGATTAATGAAGAGATAGTAACTCATATGGAACAGATGTTCTTCTACAGATGAGGAAGGTGATACAATACAAAGATAAATATTTAGTCTTGTCAAATGCAGGTGGAAAGTCATACACTCAGCTTTTTAGAACAAAGAAAAGAAAGCATTTTTATTCCAAAGCATGTCCTGCAAGAAGTGTCCAGATTTTCTTTCATGGGTCAATTTTAACATTATAACAAGCAATCAGTTTTCATCAGAAGAATCAGATTTTTTTTTATTATTATTAAAACCTTTTGTTTTTCCCTTTTCTCCTCCAAGGTTCATAGAATAATTTAGGTTGTAAGGGACCTCCAGAGTTTACCTGATGCAACCCCCTATTCAAAGCAGCGTACACAGGACCTTGTCCAGTTGTGTTTTGAATACCCCCAGTGACAGAGATTCCACCTCTTTTCCTCTGGCCAACTTTTTCCACTATTTGACAACCCTAAGTGTGAATATTTTTGTCCTTAAAACTAACAATTTCACTTATTGCAACTGGTGTCTGTTGCTCTTATTTACTGCTATGTACCTCCAAGAAGAGTCTGTCTTTGTCTTTCTTCTCCAAATCCTCTCGTTACATTGCTGAAGTCAGAAACAAGGTCTCACTTCAGCTTTCTCTTAAAGACTGTAAAAAGCCATCTCTCTCAGCCTCTCCTTATACTTTGTGTTCCATTTCTCTGACCATCCTGGTGGCCCCACTCTGGGCTTGCTTGTCTTGCTCCAATATGTTAAGGTAAGGCCATGCCGCCCAACTCATCTTCTCCATTTCTATCAGGCACCCCAGGTCCCTTTTGGCATAGTTGTCACTTAACCCTAACTAAACAAACAAACAAAAAAAAGTGTTAACAATGTTAGTAATTTTAAATAGGCTTTCTGGTGAGAGATCCTGCTGTTTTGCTTTACCGAGGTCTTAGAACTCTATTGGTTCTCTTCCTAAAGAG